GGCTAGCGAAATCCGGGGGGGGGGGGGCTTAATTTCAACAGTGCGGAAGAGGGTAATTCTTTTTGATTTGTAAGTCATTTATTTTCTATTACTGGTTACACATTTTCGTTTTTCTATTTGATTGATAGTTCGATAGTAATTGGATTGTATAACATATCTAGAACAAAGTAATTGTGTGCAATAAAGTTGTATCATAGAAAACTTACACTGGAATTAGTGTGTATCTGGTGGATAAGAAAAAAATAATTCATTTTTTTTCTTTACAATGAATAAAGCATGGACTGAGTATTGTGAAACATGTTTCATAACTTGAACAAAATTAAGTTTTACATAAATTATACAAACTGGCAGAGAACTTTTTTATATTATTTTAAAGCTTAATTTTGTTTAGACTTAGAATATATCACGTGTCTTTTTTTCCCTGTGGCATTCCACTTAAAAATTTGACTTTGCTTCCTAGGAGTGTAATCTAGCAAACGGACAAACTAGTACAAAATGCATAAATTTGTAAAGAACTACAGTTACGTTATATTTAGACGAAAGGTTGAATTATGTGAATGACAAAGTTCAAATAAATAGATCGGTACCCGAACCGAACGATGAAGTGTGATTTCCCATGCCCTTTAACCTTACTCTATAGTAGTCATTTAATTGATTAAAATGCTTACAACTGAGTTTAATAATTGGGTACATCTGTCACAGGTTCGGGGCGTTATTATTATTGTTCATACACGACAGTCACGTTCGATCACTCGCACACAATAAGCACACCGTGTTACATTATATCATATTTATATACATAGAGCAAGAAAACAAAACTAACGTACATAACGGTTATATTTATGAATTATGATTAATTTGTATTTTAACCCCCACGACATAACTTCGAAAGAACTCCATCAACTATTCTGACAAGCGTGATTTGCAATTCAGCATAGATGATAATTGTAGTGTCTTTCGTTTGTCCCATCTCCGTGGTTCCGAGGCATTAAACACTACCATGTACTTGCTTTAGCGGATTTATATCCCAAAGTCATCACAATCCTGAACCGTATCTCTACATATATACGGAAATAGTAATACGCCTCCCATGTACGCTACACTGACTCATATACACACGTGTCATCGGTTCAAAGGTCATACAAGTTTCGTTTATGGACGGTTACTAAAAGCAACTGTGGATACACTCTGGTTATATATTGTTTCCAAGAACTCTGGTGCAGTAGGTACTCGTTACATGCAACACTCAAATTTGTCTAACGACTTTCGTAATGTCTTCCTTTTTTCGTCACGTGAAATTTGACAATTACGGACAGGGAGTCTCCATATGGTTCCTTGCTGCTCACTGCTCACCTATATTAAATATAGGTATTCTAATTATAGCAAAATAAAAACTTCGATTAATTGAGAATTACTGATTGAGGTAGAGGTTATGAAATTATTTAACCCTATCTATGCGTGGTCTGTCAGGAATCTAAATGTTTATGTTGATATATGGTATAATGATGTCTAGAAAGATAAGGAATTAATTTGCACGTTGGCCAATAAATTTACATATATGACGTCATATCCGTCGATACAAATTAACATTAAATGTCAGTGCGCTTTGTAAGTTTGTGTAAAATCGATTAACTGAGTTTTAAACGTATTTATACTCTCCCGTAAATGTGGGAAAGAATATATCTGATAGATATAGTGTCGGCGATATAAAGTACGCCATCTACGATAAAAGCTTTACAATTCTTTAAAATGCCATTTGCTATGCGAACACTGACCCCCGCATGTTATACAAATGAGTGTTATATTCCCGCTATCTTTGTGTTTGGTATACCATGCTTATGTGGCTGTGTATTTTATGGTGTTGTTGTTGTTGGTGGTGGTGGTGTTGCTGCTGCTGTCGCTGAAGATGATGATGTTGCTGTTGTTATTGTTGCTATCGTCACATGTACGACGTGCAATTTTTATAAAAGACAATTTTCAAAGCAACGCCTCGAATATATCACAAGAATATTGTGGCCGACATACATCATTACACTAATTGCACATGCTTTTTCTTCAACCCCACAAGCATAGTATTTAACACCCACCCCATGGTAATTCATAAAATGCCAGACTAGACTGGTCAGGTCATGGCCCTCAAAGTGTACATGGTATAGTGTTATACTTGCTTCCATGTGAAAATACAATATAAATGGCTGAAGTACGAAATAGTAAATTTTTGCTATTTCTCAATTTCATTCTTTTTTTCCGAGTAAAAGAAACAATAATAAAACTTATAATACAGAGAGGGTGGATGATCGATCTCCTCTGTCAACTACTCATTCATCAGTACAAACAAGTGTACATTCTGTCTTACGGGAAATCCTGTCATAGATATCTTCATTATTTACAATCAACACGCGCTTCTAAAATGCAATTATATTTTCAGAAATCGCCCAAGAAACACTGACATGCAGACAATTCGGAGACACTGATGATTGTCTTACATTTTGCGAATAGATTGCTTATTTATTGCTATACAAGGTCATATGTGAAATTTGGTAATGGATCATTTTTTGAGATACACGTGATATTCTTGTATGTAGATTGTGGGGTTAATACGTTTGACTATATGAAAACAATGTTTTCAATTAGAAAAAAACTCTTTGCGATTTTGTTTAACTCGATATAATGAAATAATGTGTCTGGAACTCCATTTTGAAAATGCAAATAAAAAGAGACATGGATATATTTGCCCTAAGCTAATATCAAGTCACAGGATAATATGCGACAAACACCCCCCGTTAAAGTGATTGTTTTTCTTTATTTAATGTTAATACAATTGATGTCATGCGACAATGCGGTTACAATTGGGCGAATCGTGAATACGGTTGCCACAGCGCCACCTACGGTTACAATAGGCGCGACCTATTTTATATACCACATACGTAAAACCGTCTCCACATGCAGCCATAATTGAGCAATAACAGTAATATACTATAATGACAATATGTTTTTGTAGATTGTTATGTATGAAAAATCTTGTAACTCGGCTTGCTCAAATAACCATGCGTTAAATTTGAGACTTTGGTTTGTGTCTACTGGAAAAAAAGAGACTTGCTCCTCTTTTTTACTTGGTGGGTCATTTTAATATATTGTAACAATTTTGTGAACCACCTCATTGGGGGACTGGGTGGGTGGCACCGTCTGTCGTGGTACGGCGCCGCAATCATGATTCATCGAAAAATTAGTTCCACAAGCATTTATGAGAAAAATGGGAAGATAATTGTGAGTTTTTGTAACCAGTGTGGAGTCGATGGTATATGTGTATATTCATTTCAAGGACAAAAATGGATGTGACAGTGTTGTTCTTCTGTACAACGTGTTGAAGTGACGGTGTGATGTAGAGTCAGCAAATATGAAGTAGAACGGTTTATCTATTTTTTTTTTTTTGATTTATTACAAAAAATCATACCTTAAACTAACTGTAGTTGATTCTCGTGATTCTTATCTATTTGTGTTCAATCGCACTCTCACGTATATGCATTATACGTCGGTGTAAGCGCGGGTCCCGAGTTTAGTTTGCTGTTAGCGTTTCGAGGAATAACAAAACGACCATGGAATATGTTGTCTAGTTATGATTGGTATTACTCCGTAAACGTGAATGATTTTATAATTGGGAAAATCTTTTTATAGTAATTGTTTGTATATACACAACAACGCCAAATAGCCACATCATCACATAACCCAACACTATTCACTATAGTAATATTCGCGGGTACAGTAATCGTTAGTAAACAACAACCTGGCGAGGCGAGATGGCGCATTGTTTTTACAACATATGAAGCGAACGTACGTAAGCGAATATATACAGATTTCAAGAAAAAAATGGAACAGGGAGTTCAAACGATAGCGGTTTGTACATTTTTTTTTTGAAGAAGAAGAAGAACGATAACAATCACATGTATAGTTAAAGCTAACGCCTTGGTGTTGTTATTCACCGTGGTATCATAGCGTGGCGTGATACACGTCTTTCTGTGGTACAAGACTATTTCCTCACTGTGTTGTTTTTTGCGTAGCATGTCGTCTAAAGCTTTATGTAACAGGAGACGAGTACAGAGTAGCAGCGACAGTACGTCGTGCCTAAACTACGGCATGATTGCTCATAGAACCTCCGAGGGATTACGGATAGCTGTAAGGCTGACGGATTGATTGTCTGGCTTGGGCGCGCTTAATTAAGTTCCCCTGTATAAACGATCTCTATGAAAAGGTAAACAGAGTCGTCCTCGAGTCCCACCCCTCCCATTACTTGCTCCTCCCTGGCAATTACTTCATGGTGCATTCCTATTGAATCTCTGTTGTCACTGATCGCTAGATTACTCACTGTATTCATATGCAAATTTACAAGATAATTGACGTCAAAACTATGTGCGAACTTAAGAAACTGAATCGATTACTGTAGTTATGTTTTTTGCTAACAACATAAGTGTATAAGAAATTAATAATCGCTACAATCGACAACAGAGAAATTAATATTAAAAAGTGACGTCACTTATGAAGCGGAGGTGTTTTATACTGTGTGTGTGTGGTTTTTTTTAACAATAGAGGCAGTAGTAAACCACGTCTTTTGTGTGAAAATCTTGAAAGTGTACCTTATTATTGATACATTGCAACGTAGGAAGTTATGAATTTACAGAATGTTAACATACGATATGTTTTGTTTATTTGTTGCCAATAGTGTTATATAACATTTTCTGACTCGTGCATTTTAGCTGAAAGTTGGAGTTTTTAAAACAACGAATGTACGTGATGTGTGAACGACCAATGAATGACGAGTTAACATAATCGACAGCCCATCACCACCTGTTGAGAATGCTTTAAAAGACGCCAGCATGACGGGGGGTCCTCTTTAACATCCCTGCCTTCCCATTGGACAACACAATCACATTGTGGGTTGCTGATGTATCCGTTGATGGGGCCATGAATACCTAACTCAGGAACAATAGCCCACGATTCAGCGTTCTTGTCGCACGTATGCTGCACCTATCTGAGTCAACACATACACGTGTATCTCAGTATCATAGTCACTTTTAATATACCTTTATATCGGTGGAATTTGAACCTGACATTCGCTACTCTGGCTCCCCTACACGTAACCATGTCGGATTCGGAGATGAACGGCGAACCCATCAAAGACGCTATCTCTGTAAGTAGTTACTATGGTTGTGCGGATTAGTTGTGCGCCTTTCAACTATTTTACTTTCATTTAATGTTTTTTATTATAAATTAAAGTAACATTGTAGCATCGTTTTTCTTACAATGTAATGGCGGACACTCTCGACTTAACCCCGACACTACCGATATATCTTTCATTCACAACATATTTATGTGTTTTTATTCTACTTTCAGCTTGATGGGGAAGTTTGTCTCGGATGCACCTCTCCGATCCAAGATAGATACCTACTGAAAGTAGGAACACGATCGTGGCACGTGCGTTGTTTGCGATGCTGTATCTGCCAGACCGGTCTTGGAGGACAACAGTCATGTTTTACGAAGGACGATAATATATACTGTAAAATGGATTACATAAGGTATGGGGGAAAATGTTCTTACGGGGTATTTATATCGATGTCAGTTAGAAGGACGCTCCTGTGTCCATTATTGACTTCTATTATTAGTACTGCTAACGTTAGTTGGTATCAATGGACTTCGGTGTACATTGTTCAAATGCGAATCTATTGGGAACTATTTGTATAACACGCATAACTACACCGAAATTGACCGAGTAGCTTTTTCGCAAGAAATGTTTCTTTTGAATTCACAATCAATTTTGAACTAAACTTATCAAAAACAGCGGATGAATTGGCAAATTATTGGTATTTTGTTTAAAAACTGATGTCCCGGAATGGTGTATCTACAGATAATGTCATCTACGGAGGATCAGTAAACACCATAGTAAACAAGTCTCGTTGAAACCACTTCAGCCGACAATGTAAGGATTCAACGATTGAATAAAAAAAACGATTAAATATCAATGTACAATGTATAGCAGTAAACACGGTATATGGTTCATAGATGCCGACGGAATCGGATAAACATCAGCCATCTATCACACGTAGGGTCAAATTCGGTTAAAATTGGCCATGGCTCTGAGCTATGTGCTCATATTTTCTTTCTGTTAGCTAGTTCGTGTCTTGCAGATTCCAGATAAAATGCTTTTATGTCCTTACAAAATGCAATTCAGCTCGAGGCGAAGATGTTCGATAAGATCATTCTGACGAGGTTTGCTAGGAAGTTCCGACGTGTTCGCAATACTTGGTGAAAGTTGCTTCCGATACGAGAGTAAAGCTGACTCACATCATATCATTTCAGAAATACTCGTGGTACAGATTAAAACATCAGTGGGTGAACACGTTGTTCGTACGTTCTATTCACGTATAAATAACCATTATACGTTTCGTACCGTCGATATTATCCCTGGTTTGTCGGCGGCGCCGTTGTTGCATCGTGTTACCGTCGGGTTAAACATGGTACACTGTCACTAGACCGGTCAGTTTTTGCGCAACGTACCGATAACCGAGTTTTCAAAGATAAAAAAAAAATCGTTTTTTTTAATGTGACGTCGCAGCAAGTTTTGTCACATTTCTTTCTCACTGTCAGTCATTCTTTTATGACATAGAGTAGATCACGGAAGGACGGGTTCAGCCCAGCAAAGCTACAACTGCACTAACACTACAGTGTTGTATGTGGTTTGCATCACTGGGCTGAGATCCATTGTATTGGCATGGGGAGAATATGCCCTCAGAGAACGAACGTGGTTAATATTGTTGAGTGTGTATTTATTACTTTTGAACGGCGTGGTCCTATAAGTTACTCGTTCGCACATTCCCTGAATGCATTGGTGTCATTCTTTAATGAAACCTACCCCTTTACAGTTGGGAAAGCATTGAAAGCTGTCATCTCACGTCCATGTAGGAAATACAGATAGTGCTCCTATGAGATAACAACTCCCGATATGACACCTAGGCCGTCGATATACGACATCCCTATGGAATGTAAATAGTTCAGAAATCAAGATAATTCTCGTTCATCGCCTCAGAGAAAATTATATAGAGTGCGAAATGGTAGAGTAAGAGGCGACGACAAATACGATTGAACGAGATAATCGACACCAAAGAAACCATTCACATCACAGTAAAATAGAGACTTCTTTCACTTGTTCAGAAATAATGCGGAATAGACGCGTTCACATATAGGTGTACGGTATAAAACGCGCCACAATGCAGTAATCTTAGTTTCAAAAAAATAATAAACTCGCTACCGCTAAGATTTTATCTAAAAGTGCATAGACGGTAATATTTTGGAATGGTACCTTGTTCGGTTACTTATGTTTCTCGAAATCGTTTATTCTATGTCTAGATGAACAGCTTCTAAGATAATGTACGGACATATTGAATAAACTTTGTCATCAGTTCAACCCATCCCTTTACTATTCAACGTGATTGGTAGACCGGACTCGAACAGTACAGCGCCGGGGTACAGCGATGTCGGCGATGGGAATTGAACAAGCCAACACATGCACCAACTTAGTTGGATGAAACGGTTAACCTGTCTTTACCACTGTGACGAGGGTATGTGCCTTGTCGTAGAGACTGTCATGTCTTTACCCCCCCCCCCCCTAGTTAGTAGTTGATTAGAATGGTGCAGCGGTACTGGCTAGTAATAACCAGTGCAGTTACGTTGGCCTCGTGTGTACGCACATACAACATCTACTGTATGAGAACAATATATTTATAAATAATATGCATGCAACAAGGGTAAACAAATAATTTATATCGCATAATTTTTTTAAATAGTTTATAAATTTGAAGTCAAACTGTCGCAACTTTTGATGGTATTCATAATATCGTTATTTCGTCAGGATGAAAGCGACATGTACAATATAAAAGACAATAGGTGCATTGTAGTGCACGGCCATAAATTAATAAACATATAAATTCCGTATACTGTGAGCTGTTACACTCAATCGTGTGACGGTGTGTAACCGGTGCATCGTGTGTTATAATGCATGAACACCGAAGTGATACATCCTAGTGATATTGTGAGTTATACAATAAACAACTGTACGCTGTCCTGTTTATTTTTTTTGATTTTCTCTTTAACATTAAGACAACAAGCGAAGTTATGTTTGCCTATAGGGACATATATGTTTTTTTATTTCCTCCAGGTATCGGAATGTGTATTGCACATGTAAACTAAAACATAATACAAACTCTGAATTCGTGTTGTTTTACAGACAATTTGGAACGAAGTGTTCCCGGTGTATGAGGAATATCCAGTCGAATGATTGGGTGAGGAAAGCAAAGAACCACGTGTACCACTTAGCGTGCTTTGCGTGTGACAACTGTAAACGACAACTATCGACGGGAGAGGAATTCGCCATGCAAGAAAATAAAGTACTTTGCAAGACACATTATTTAGAATTATTAGAGAATTCGTCCGACTGCAGTGAAACAAAAGAAGGTATGTTGCGTGTTCGACAAATACTATATATGTTCGTTCGTATCATGTTTGTCCACTTCACGGGCCATCACGCTGTACTATTCCATTTTAGACAGTCCTTGTATTGTTTCATTATTTTGGTACTACGTATTTCTTGTCATTTTTCTTTATACATGGAGCTTAGACTTAGAACTGATATACACCATGACCCTATACTTCGTACTTACATATGCACAGATGCGCTTTACGCATTGATGCGGCCATTTTTTTTTCGAAGCAGAAAGCGCAATACGTCGACAATATCGCGAATAATTTTCAACTTACTTGGTCACTTAAAATTGGATCTGTAGTAAACTCTGAAGCACTGTGCGTGTGGTATTGTTAGTCTCACTGCCTGTGAATAAAACAGAAAGCTAATTCACAACTCTTTTGATAACTGGGTGTATAACACTCTGAACTCGTTACCCCACCTGCTGTTTCACACATATAGTCACATAAAACAGCTTGAAAACGCGCAGATATTTAGCGCATAATGTAGTTATCTTATTATCCTAAATGGTATTATAATTTGGTACGCAGTCTTAGCGAACTAATATAGATGTCCCCACTACTCGCTGTTACTTTATGAACGCATTACGTCATGGTATTAACAACGTGTACCTTATTCATTGTATGTTTAGAGGGATTGTTTTATGTTATTATGAATAACATACATGGAATAATATTTGATGACTTCCAGTGTCTTCCACGTTTTTTTTGGCTTGTCAGTCGCACAATTTTAAATCCAGTATTATTGTGGTGGGTAATGAAATGAACAATTGTCAGTTTCACTTATAACTGATCAACTGAACGTGGCTTCTCTATGCAGTACATGATTTCATCATCGATATCTGGCATCATAAAGTCAACATCAGAGAACAAATGTTATTATTCATCAACATGCATAGGTAGACTTAGATAGTTTAGATCATAAAAATGTTGGCGAACTGCTGGATTCTTAAAAAAAAAAATTCTCTGACATTTGAGCGCCAAACTGTGACGTGTGAATCGGTGGAAAGGTACAATGAAATGGGACTTGCGATAAACACGCTGCATGGACCCACCTTTTGTTGACGGTGCCTTCACAGGGGTTAGGTTTATCTTTAGCTCATGAAAGTAAACCGTGACGCTGTGTTCAGAAATCAGAAACCAGGCCGGGAAATGTTCTCAAACGGCAACAAATTGTCCAATAACAAGGGGTACGATATAAAGCGTGACTCCGGAGAATTTTTTCTCAACACCCCATCTCTCATTATATCCTGCTCTGACCGAGCCCTACTCTGAACATCTCGCCATGCCCAGCTCAAAGATCTCACGGTTCGGTGTTCCGATACCCGTTCTCACCGTACTGTGTTCCGAGCAAGCTTCTTACGGCGACATGCTTCAATCCAGACCCAATCTCGCCGACTCCGAATAATTTACTACTATAAAAACGAACAGACTGTCTAAAAACTAGGCGCAATTTAGAGGACGTTGCTGGCTATACATAGTAACACACACTAAACACATTTTTGACCCGGACTACTATGTCGTGGATACAACATATGTCATCTAGTGGGTTTCGCGTACTATACGTAACATAAGTGAAAGCGAGTTTCAATACTTCTGTGATTGATGACAACGAAATCGCGTTAACACTACCATTTGACAACCACTCAACCAATATCTTAGAACTCAAACTTTCTCTTATTTATAGTATCAAGCAAATCAAATCACCTCAACTGGAGCAGTCTGTACACACTGTGGCGTGTGTCTGGAGCCCCGATCATTATATTATCTAACTAGCATTTTAAACTTAAAATATCATCATCTTTTAGAAAATGGCCACAGTCGACACAATCCGAGAACTAAACGAGTTCGGACAACATTCACAGAGGAGCAGCTACAAGTTCTTCAAGCCAACTTCAATGTCGACAGTAACCCGGATGGACAGGACTTGGAGAGAATAGCGCAAATCACGGGTCTCAGCAAACGAGTCACACAGGTCTGGTTTCAAAATTCAAGAGCAAGACAGAAAAAGCACACTACCAGTAAAACTTCTCCATGCCCTTCTGACAACAACAACAAGCCTGGTAAGTAACAGCCACAGAATAACACCATGGTCACCATGGTAACCGGATATATTAACTCCAATTAATATCATGTCATATGCTCTGATACAAAGCGTTTACTGATTCCCAATTTGTAGTCGATGATCATGATGATGTTAGTGATTCTTACTTTGCTACCAATCATACTCAAACACATAGAAAAGTGTGTGTTTTTGTACCTTATTTGTACTTTTTAAAATCAGTGCCATAAAATACTGTAAAAATAAAATTGGAAGAAAATAATTATTGACGAGGTGCCTTTAATCATTGCTGAAACGTTTTTTTTTCACGTATCGCTTAATCTAAGCTGCGCAGATTTAGTTTTTATCTATTGAGTTTATACTGAAAAGATGAATATTGCAATGTGTGTGCCTTTACAATATCATGTTCTATGATATGCGAGTTTCTCGTGTATAAAGCTGTAGTATCTGGTCACTCTTGTAATACCACTTTGATCTTGTTACGTCTCCATCTAATTATTCCACTTCGGTAAAACTTGACGCGATTTTTGCCCAAATTTTCTAACACAACTTCACGGCTGATTTCACCTCTCCGTTTACCGTCTGTAATCCTTCCCGATCGATGAAGCCATGTTGGGAGTTGCAAGTGAATGAGTATAGAAAAGGGTCTCATAAAATACTGCCAGGTAGTAAGAATGTTACAATACCGGTCCACACTGTGCTGATATATTGTCAATATTTTTATACTCGTGTTCACTGTTATTCAGCGAAATACAGACGGGAGAAAACATTCGATTCCCATTTACTCAGCCAATTTAAAAATTTAATCGAGCGGTACACATGGTACCGGTAGTTACCGTAATCTAATCGTTCGAACGTCAGCACGGATTGGTTTCACAGAATAATTATTTCAATAACATTTAATTATTCCGATGAAAATCATTTTTTTATCTTTATTATGTCTTCGGATGACGTCAACAAATATATGACACGAACATACAAATGATAGACGTTTACTATTTGTTTTAAAAACACAACACGTGTATTTGAGTGAAATTAACATGGCCACGTGCTGGCCAGGAAATGAGTGTTCCAACCACAGGGGGAAACTCTTGTATATTTTTATTAAATCTAATATGAAGTGACTACAGTAGGTGGGCAAGCACGGCTATGGGAATGACACACAACTTTATAAGCACGCCGTCTACAGTAGCGCGATTTCCTTGCCGCTTTTGTCTAAATATTAAAACCAAATACTGATTTGATGAATGGTATAAAAAGTTAATATTCGCCTTGAAAAGATAAGATTTTATCTCACAAAGTCACGTGACGCATGGTGGAATCCAACAGAGCTTATTACTAACCTGTCCCTGTTACTCCTAAACTGTTTAATAACATAAGGTTATTATGGGCCAGTGTGTTGACGTGCCGCACCACTGTCTCTATTCATATATTACAACCCCTTTGTGAATCCATATCCGAAGTTCACAATTCACCCGTTGTAAAACCACGCGAACGTTACTCACAAAATGAACACAACTTAGATGAATTAAAATTACTCTTTGCAGTGTCGGCGCCTCTCTAAACGATGGTTCATGACAGTGGTTAACATCTCAGTCGCATAGATTCACAAAATAATTTAACTTCTAATTTCGAGAGTAACTGTCATGTTTTATTCCTTTTTAAATGTCTGCGTTTTAAATAACGGCACATGTCTGCATGTAAGATCGGCGTCATATTCCGTGTTAGACAATGACAGCAACAGCTATTGTCGTATACATATAATGACACAGCAAACGTTTGCCCACTTTTATCTTTTTCGTTGTTTAATCCAGAGAAACACGACCAATTCCGGTTTATTTCACCAAAACGCTTATCGGGCAATTAGATTTGAATTGTACATTTCCTGTACTGCAAGTATCGCCACACTGTAATGGCGTCAATTTATGTCTAACCGGTGGATAAGAAGAGACTACGCCGGTCTCATTTGACTTGCCTTTCAAATTATCGAAAATTATTAAGTTAACGATTAAGTATAATCGTGCGTGTAACAATCCGACGAGAGGAAGAACTAGTGAAGGTTGCACAGAGAGCTTCCACCTCGCTACTGATGAGGCTTGATTGCTTAACATTCTGGGAGGCCTACCCATGAGATGACGAACAGAGCCGGTGAATACACCGTAATTTAAACGAGTCAGGCGGAAAAATGCACTCAGCGAATATGTACTAAATGAAGCGATAACATTACCAACGTGGACTTAATTTGACACACATCTGATAACATAAAATAACAGGAAAATATTGATTTTCGAAAAAAATATAACCATGTTAACATGTTATAGCGCACGGTATTGAGTATACTCTCTGTTTGTTTTCAGGTTTAGACTCACCACCGAGTATAATGACGCCGACCAAACACCATTCGTCTCACACTTGTCACAAATGCGGACTCATGTATTGTATGTGTATGGAAGTAACACCGCCCCCTAACGGCACGTGTGCATCATAGACCACAGTGCGTAGTACTATATGGCGGATAAAGGCAGAGCCGCACACCAACAGTTGACCACAGTGCAGAGAAGAGATTAATCCGAGATATCAGCGAGGTTATATCATTGTCACGTGACATGGTTATTCTACAGTGTATATTGTTGTATAAAAGTTTAATATATCAGAGACATTATTATATTTATAAGGGGCGTCCTTCCTCCAATACACGTGACCGTACCTTGTACACATAGGTGACATTATTATATTTATAAAGGGTGTCCTGCTCCCAAAATAAACGTAACCGTACATTATGTTTGGATGTAGCTATCGTATGAATAACACTATGTTTGGGTGTACACCGAATTTGAGTAACACTATGTTTGGGTGTACACCGAATATGGGTAACACAATGTTTGGGTGTACACTGAATATGGGTAACATTATGTTTGGGTGTATACAGAATATGGGTAACACTATGTTTGGGTGTATACAGAATATGGGTAACACTATGTTTGGGTGTACACCGAATATGAGTAACACTATGTTTGGGTGTTCACTGAATATGAGTAACACTATGTTTGGGTGTATACAGAATATGGGTAACACTATGTTTGGGTGTATACAGAATATGGGTAACACTATGTTTGGGTGTATACAGAATATGGGTAACACTATGTTTGGGTGTACACCGAATATGGGTAACACTATGTTTGGGTGTTCACTGAATATGAGTAACACTATGTTTGGGTGTATACAGAATATGGGTAACACTATGTTTGGGTGTATACAGAATATGGGTAACACTATGTTTGGGTGTATACAGAATATGGGTAACATTATGTTTAGGTGTTCACTGAATATGAGTAACACTATGTTTGGGTGTATACAGAATATGGGTAACACTATGTTTGGGTGTATACAGAATATGGGTAACACTATGTTTGGGTGTATACAGAATATGGGTAACACTATGTTTGGGTGTACACCGAATATGAGTAACACAATGTTTGGGTGTACACTGAATATGGGTAACACTATGTTTGGATGTATACAGAATATGGATAATACTATGTTTGGGTGTATACAGAATATGGGTAACACTATGTTTGGGTGTACACTGAATATGAGTAACACAATGTTTGGGTGTACACTGAATATGAGGTAACACTATGTTTGGGTGTACACTGAATATGAGGTAACACTATGCTTGGGTGTATACAGAATATGGGTAACACTATGTTTGGGTGTATACAGAATATGGGTAACACTGTGTTTGGGTGTATACAGAATATGGGTGACACTATGTTTGGGTGTACACAGAATATGGGTAACACTATGTTTGGGTGTATACAGAAGGTGAATAACACTGTGTGGGTGCACACAAAACATGGGTAACACTATGTTTGGGTGTTCACCGAATATGAGTAACACTATGTTTGGGTGTATACAGAATGTGGGTGACACTATATTTGGGTGTATACAGAATATGGGTAACACTATGTTTGGGTGTATACAGAATATGAGTAACACTATGTTTGGGTGTATACTGAATATGGGTAACACTATGTGTGGGTGTACACAGAATATGGGTAACACTATGTTTGGGTGTACACCGAATATGGGTAACACTA